AGATTCCCAGCACAGCATCCCTCTACAGTCACCTTGGACAACCTCAGCTGATAAATTAGTGAGAGACAAGTGGATGATGAGGGACTCCCTGGCCATAGCTCTTAATCCTTATAGTCAGTGGAAGGAGAAAGATCATTCCAGGTGATAATTCTAATAATAAATCTCAGGAGAGGCTGAAGAGAAGTCTTTGCTTGTTAAATATTTTGTGTTTGATCTGACTCTCTTAAGTTGCTCACCGAAATAGCTCTTTCCAAGCTGAAGGCAAGCTATAACTGTGCAGTGTCATCTCATTTTGCTTATAGTGATCAGTATAGCCCTTCCACTTGTTCTGTATCACTCCTGATCTTTTGGAAAGCAAGGGAATTGCATTCACATATTTAACTAAAAGGGAGTCAGAATGGGTCTCCTATGAGCAAAAAACTGCATTTGGTATTTGGAATAGTCACATTTTTATACTTGAAACTTTTTTTTTTTAAAGCAAAATTTGAAAGCCAAGGAAAATGCAAGGCATGAAAATGCATTTAAAAGGTTCAGAGGATGCTTTTAATATATTTCATAGTGCTTTTCTCGCAGTTTTTGAGGTGGGTAGCAGCTTAGCAGGCAAGGGAAGCATTTCAGAGTCTAGTTCATTATGGCCTTCAGTTCTGAAGAGACTCCTTTCTGCTTTCAGAATTCCTTCGCACCGCAAAATGCTTTCCCCCAAAAGTCTGTTTTCAATATAAAGCAACCAAACAAAAAAATTAAAAAGCACAAAACGCAGAAGATCAGTCTTCAGAAATTCTTTCAAGAGGGAAAAGGGCCTTTGTGGTGGCCTGCATTTTTCCACAATACAGTACAAATAAGCTCCTACCATATGTTTTTAGAACCGTTTAGAGCTTTTCCTCTTTCTTTTTTTTTGCTGCAGGAAGCAAAGATGCCTCATTTTAATGCCGCAGGTCTTTCCTACTTAATTTCCTGTGCAGATACCTGCTGCCAATTTGGCGCGAGGTAGGAGATGGTCTCAGAGATGCTCCAGTTCCTGCAATCAGCTTTTTGAGCAAGAAACCTCGCCAGGAGCAGGATGCCCTTCGCTGTGGGCATCGCGGTTGCTGGCAGATCACTTCGTAGCTGTCCTCGTGCAGCCCAGTTGGGGCAATAACTTTCAGCATTCACAGCACCAAATGTTCACAGCTCCACTGCCAGGCTTCTAAAATCATGAAATTGGGTTAAAATGCAGAAGATGAAAAATAACAATCTACATTTTCCTTGACTTCTGAGCCAAAGGAAGAATTTGGCTCTTGCTATCTAATGTTTCAGACCCTGCTTTTTCAAATATATGTGAGATTCCTACCCAACTGCAGTTGGTAGTTTCCAGAAGATTGCAGGTCTCACAGAGCTTTCTGTGGATTTTTGAAAGTTTGGAAATCAGGGAGTAGTGGTGATTGTGGTATGCATTTGCTTTAAAAAAATCATCTTCCCAAAGAAGGAGAATAATTAATATTGTGTGACTTGCACAAGTTACCAAATATCACAAATAATTATAAATCTTTCACTATCATGACCAACAAATCTGTGGAAAGACCCAGTCCCCACCACCTTTAATAAAAACTGTAGTTGTAAAATTCAACTTTGGGGCTTTCCCTCTTTGACCCTGTGGATCCACTGCAGTTTTCCATAGTGCATCCATCTTTTTGTGCCTGTATCTCTGAGAATTAAATTTCTACCTTGTGCAGGGCATATGTGTGTTGCTACTGAGCACATATGATTACTGGCCTTCTAATTTGGATGGGGAGGCTGATGCTGTTTGCAGCCAAGGACTCACAGAATTTGGTTATGAGGAATGAAAATTAATCATTTGTGGGAGTACGACCTGTGATTCTTGATATTTACTTATTGTTTTCCATGAATGTGTCATATCCACAGTGTTACAAAAAAGGACATAAGATCTCATGCTGAAAGAGTTAACCTAATGAATGATATCAAATATCAACTGTCTCGTTTTCTTGCTAGAGGGCTGCACTTTAGCTGGCAGAATGGAGAGGAATTGGCAAATTGGACCGGCACCATTAATTTCACCGATGACGGAGCAGTGAAGAGTGGCAGTGGCACAGGCACCAGGTACCAACCCCTGAGGGAATAACTACCCAAAATCTGGCCCTGGGCTTTCTTTATGGGAGAACATGTATTCTAAGAAAGACCCAGTTTCACTTGAAATCCTTCCAGAGTCTAGTAGGAGAAAAATGTTTTAGTGAGATAAAACCAGAGAACTTCCTTTGTTTATCCTTTTCTGAAACTGTTATAAGAAGCACGGATGTGCTATTCCATATTTTATTTAATAATTTGTAGTAAGACTTTGCTGACTTTAAGTATCTGAGGGCTCAGGAAACTCCATGTATGGTAGGAACCTGGCTGTGCCTATGGTCAGCTGGGAAAGCTGCTGAAATGCTCCATGGATGTCACAGGCCATCGACACAAATCTGAGGGCTCATATTTGGGGTGTCATCCTGGAATTTCAGTTTTATAAAACTCCCTTGCAGGGCAAACTGTTTAATCAGCAGTTTTTGCATAGGGAGCACTCCAGCATGTTTGTCTTGAAGAGCAGAGAAACTTTAGTGCAGGGCAATATAAGGGGAAATCTCTCTGTGCATGGTTAAAAAAGTGACTTTCAATGTATGGTACTCACAGTCTCTATTGACTTGAATTTAAAGATCCTGAATCATGTGAACGTGACTAGGTTCAATAAATACCAGGAAAATCCTAGAAATTAGTAAGTCAAAGAAAAAACTAAAATAAGAAAAGAAACAGATGTGTGATAAGGATAGGTCTCTGTGGATGACTTATGTTAGTGATCCTGTCACAGTGTATTTTGGGACCATGCCCCACTACAGCTGCACTGCTGATAGCGTTTCAAAGGCAAGCGGAAGTGCGAAATCCGACTGATCCAAACCCCAACCTCCCTGACCTCCTGAGTCCGCGATGCAATTCCTGATACAGCTCCATGCTGCAACATGATCCTGCATCACTGCTGCCCACTGTGCCACTGGTTTAACTAGTTGAGGAAGTTTTATGGAAGGAACCAGCTTAGCTGCTGTTTTAGCCCAGAGCAAGGGAAAAATGAATCTGTCTATCTGCCTGTCGCTAGTTTTGTTGCCTCATTTGTGCGTGCATCTATAGTTTGTATATTCAAAGTCTTCAGTTCGAGCACTTGGGGTATCAGAAAACTGAATGTGACAAAATAAAGAGAGATTGTCTTGCTGAGATGAGAGAATTAGTAAATATAGATTCCTCCCTCTAGGCACCCTTCAGAGAGGCAATTGAACTGTCACTCAGTGCGGGGCGAAGACAAATCCCTTGATTGCAAGGTACATATAAGCTATGAAGCACTGAGCTACAATACTATTCTCAATCTATTTAACCTCTTCAAAGAGTAAGAAGTTCAGGGTGTAGGTGCTTTTTATAAAAATGGGCTCTTGCTTCACAATTCAGGTCTTAAATTTCAAATGTGATAATATAAAGATGCAAAATTCAAAGTTAGCAGCATGTTAATGACTGTGGAAGTGAAAGGCATTCAGGGGCTGAAAAGGACCTGACCTAATTTATTTGTATATATTTACAAGTCTCCAGTGATATATCTAAAGGGCATAAAACTGACTCTGTGTCAGCATATGTACAGTCAACATCTTTCAGTGCCTGGCTCTGTAGTTTATCATGGGTTATTACCTCCTTGCAAAAGGTTTGTTGGTTAAAGATATTAATTGAAATAGATATTATTAGACTTTTTAGATTATAATTTAGCACTGAATTGGTAATCATTTCATTAATTTGTATCATTTATATTTTTATGGGTATACAGGAACATGTTTAGTCATACATTTACACTATTGGCCTATGTATATTCTATAACAGCTGTTCATCTTTTAACTAATTAGTGGCAGATGCATGGATTAATGTAATTGTCACATCATTGATGCTTACACCATCAGTACAATTAATTCTAAGGAGGCTTAATGCCTTGCTGGATCACAGAATCCCAGAACGGTTGAGGTTGGAAGGGACCTCTAGAGATCATCCAGTCCAACCCCTCTGCTCCAGCAGGGACACCTAGAGCATGGGGCACAGGGTGGCATCCAGGCGGGTTTGGAAGATCTCCAGAGAAGGAGACTTCACAGCCTCTCTGGGCAGCCTGTTCCAGGGCTCTGTCACCCTCACAGGAAAGAAGTTCTTCCTCACATGGAGATGGAACTTCCTGTGTTTTAATTTATACCCATTACCCCTTGTCCTGTCACTGGCCACCACCGAGAAGAGTTTGGCCCCATCCTTTTTATATTCTCCCTCACATATTTGTACATGTTGATAAGATCCCCTCTCAGTCTTCTCTAGGCTAAACAGGCCCAGATTGCTTAGTCTTTCCTCATATGATAGATGCTCCAATCCCATAGTCATCTTCTTGGATGCTTCAGATAGGTCCAGGCCTTGTGAATGACAGTCCATATGATGGTGATTCACTGGCTTGGGATGAGTTAGCGTCAGTCAAGTTCACTCTGTGGCAGGTAGCTCCTTGCTCTGTGCAGAGAAAATGACTGCATGGACATGGAGACCAAGCAGAGCTCCTACCTTGAGAGTCCCCTGGCATCAGGCAGTGACTGTGTGGCCAGCGTTCCCATCCTCTGTCCAGGGAGGTGTGTGGGCATCCCATCAGGAGTGAGTCGTAGAATCGTAGAATCATTATGGTTGGAAAAGACCTTCAAGATCATCAAGCGTCTACTTGGGTTTGTTTCATGGTTCTCCTTTGTACTTCCACAAGGAGCCAAACTGTGAACTCAGCACACTCAGCAAGTCTACTGGAAACTTAGAAGCTCTTTAGGAGATGAGGTACTTGTGAAAGTTCCTGACTTGCAAGACTTGCTTTTCTAAACTATAGCCTGATAGAGTAACTGCTTCAAATGCAGTTCTCCTCATTACCCTTCTGCATCTTTGGGAACACATCCTCTTTCTTCACTATTTTTGGTTTGTAGATTGGGTGAACAGGCAGTGATCAAACGGAACTTTGGGGCTCAGGAAACTTCATATGTGTTTCATAAAATGACAT